AAAAACTATTCGATTTCTATTTTAACAGGTATTTTCATAAATACAGTGAACAAACGCACACACACATATGACGTTACACACATTTATATCGATAATAACATTACATTTTAGATGATTTTTTTCAAAAAAAAACAGATTTTTAAAAAAGCTACACAAAAACTAACACAGGACACATATTTGGCGTTTATTTGATTTGAAAATTTTGATCGAAAAAAAACTTTTTTGAGGATATCAATTTTGTGTTGTTTTTTTTGCAAACTCCTTTGATAAAAAAATCTTCATTACCATAAAAAACTTGAAATATTGAATTTTAAAAAAATTCCTGGACGATGGCGGAAAGGGTTAATCATTCATTTGAATGATTGATTTTTATCACCGAAAATAAAACAAACTTACGATGGATTAATAAACTGGATGGACATATTCACCACGAATACAAATCCAGATGAAATTTTTAGATAAATTTCAAGGCTATTTGTTCGATACCATCGATACTATCACGTGAACAATCGATGACAGATTAATAAAAAAAAAATTAAACCATCCTTCAACGATTATTGTGGCTAAATTCCGACATCGACTATTTAAACTCAACTATAAAATGGAGATAATAATGTTTAAAAAATAATAAAACTTTTTTTTTATAAATAAAAAAATTATTATTGTATTCAATTTGTAATTTGTAATTTAATTATTATTAAGAGTTTTTTTCAAAAAAAAAATTAATAAATAAAAAAATTATTATAAAAAACAAAAATGCTTTTGAATTGTTATTCCCGATCGTTCAAGCTGTTGCATTTCAAGCGGACAAAAGATTCTAATATCTTGTTCATAGCATCTGGTCTCTTTTGAACTCATTGTATCAAGTTCATTCCTAATCACAAAATATTTTCTTGCGTTGTCTTGCACGAATCGTAGTAATTTTTCTTTCGCAATTGAATCGATTACAGAAGGATATTGATTAAGTATGGACATGATGATTTGTCCCATTGGAAAATAATGAATTATTGCTCAAATGTCTGGTTAAATTACTGAATCGAGGCATCCTTGAAAAATAAGCATTTGTCGCTTTGGGGAATAGATTATCAAAATAATTCTCCTGGTGCATTTCTTCGTTGATTGAAATTTTCTTCGCCGCAGTTAATCTCTTATGCTTCTTCAAATGGAGTTCGAAGTAAATCTTTTGGGTTGAATTTCTATTATTGAAAACACTAAGAAAATTGCACATAAAATAAAATCTTAGGTTATGTAAACAATGTAAACCAATTTGCAGGAGATTTTTTTATTTTTTTGAATTGATTTTTCAAATCCTTTTTTTAGTGAAAAACTTGGTTGTTTTCCAGAATAGATTTCCATATTGCCTGGTTTAGGTTAGGTTGGATGTGATAAACGTTTTTTTTAAAAAAAAAAATCTTAGCATCATCATTATAAACTTACCGTTGGGAAATTTAATTTCGTATTCATTTCACTTCCAGGAACAAAAATTCAATTATTTGATTTACATTTTCTGAAGAAAAATGTGTTTTTTTGTTTTGAAATCGAAACTGAAACACACAGCACCGATTTCACACAATAGGAAGACGATAGAATCGAATTTCCATTTCCCCACTCAAAAAAAAAATCGAACATTTTTGCGACCGCGAATGCTGCCATCTATCGTTGGCCAATATCAACAGATTTTTTTTTCCAAAAAATATTTTTCTGGTTTTTTCCGAAAAATTTTCGTTATCATCGTTAACCGTTATTTGGCTGTTTTTTGATGGTATTTCTTAAGAAGACGAGACAAACCAAACCAGCCAACCATAAAATGCAATGGCGAGGGGGGGGGTTAAAACAGATTTCTCTTCTCTTTTTGTTTTAAGAGAAATTTTTTTTCGCTTTGGAAATGCTGTTGCCGGTTAATGGAAACAAAATTATCATCAACATGCCGTGGATAGATTGTCTTTCGTGTGCAGCATGTTGTAGTGTGTGGTTGTTGATCGACGATAAGATAATCCAATGATTTTAAGTCATTGATTAAGTCAAGTGGAGTTGTAGGAATGTTGTAAGAAATCTTTTTTTTTCTGTTTTCAAAAAATCAGAAATCAAATCAAATCGATCGATCGATCGATGATGATAATTTCCGTATCCGATAATTGATCCATCACTAATTGATTTTATCATTTGTTGTTTCGTTTTGCTGTTATCCAAAGTTGATAATATTTTTTTTTTCACTAATCATTCATCGAATGACTCAATCAAATCAAATCAAATCAATCAATCGATGATGATTCAACATAATTGATGAAATTGGTAACCAAGATAATTGTGTACAGCAACAAGTGAAACATAATCAACAAAGTTAAACATAATCGATTAACCCTTTTCTTCTCGCTGCAGATATAAAACGCAGATATAAATTCATCAAATGATATGATTCGGTTTCATTTTTTTGCTTGAGTTTTCAAATTTTTCGTTGTTTTTCATCCAAAAAATCCTGCTACGTAATCGTTTAATAAACAAAAATTTTTTTTCCGTTGTTTTTTTTCGCATTTTCATTTCCCCGTCGAGTTCATTCATTTCATTCTAAAATAAATAAAAATTACATTACTTTAATTTCGTTTAGTTTCGTTTTACAAAATACAAACATTCCATTGAATGATGATGATGATAATGTTGATGCTGTGTCTGGTTGTGATGTGATGCGATCATCATCAATGATGATGATGTGGTATTTTTAATATTTTTCTTTCGTTTCTTGCTTCAGTTTTTACCACCAACATAGTTTGTTGTGTGTGTGCTCAGCATACAACATACGCCCAATTCTTCAGTCGTCATCTTCGTCGTCATCATCGTTGTTAAATAATTTTCTTTAGCATCGATTTTGTTGTTGTTGTTGTTGTTAAGTTTCAATTTGTTTTTCTGTTTCGGTTTCGATGGTGATTGTTTTTTTTTCGATTTTTTGGGTAAGTTTTTTCTTTCTTTGCCATTATGTGATTTATCCAACAAATTGTCCTAGATAATATTCAACAAGAAAAAAACTTGATTGAGGTCAATTTGTGTGTGTGTTTGATTAACCACATTTTTTTTACTTACCTTGAATCGAATTGAATGACCGGAACGATGGCTATCTTCATCAATCAAAAATCAAAAAAAAAAACAAAACAAAAACAAAACAAAAACATCATATGACTGAGTGTGTGTATGTGTGCTTATGGTCATTATCATCATAATGATCAATCAATCATTTGGTAGTCATTTTGGTGGTAAAAATTTAAATGAAAATTATCTTCTTCTTCGAACAAAATAAAAGATCGAATCATCCGGCCGCTAAAAAATTATGTCGGGAAATTTCTTTCTCTCATTCTTTTTCGAATGTTTTTTCTTTCCTGGAAATTTTTTTTTGCATTCTCATCAAACATTCGAATTTTGAAGGTGTTGAAATATGCATGGTGTGTGAAAAAAGTTGACACGAAAAACCTTTGCCCACCTTTTTTCTTGAAAAAGAAAGAAACAAAATTATCATTTTCAAAACACCTGAATAAAAGTCTATTTTTATCTAATAAATTGAAAAGAATTACATTTCAGTGCAAAAAAGAACGAATTTCACATGAACAAATGACCAAAAGAAGAAAAATGATGATCATAATTGAATTGTTTTCTTTCCATTTCTGCCCTGTTTTTGTTAACCATTCATTTGGTAATGTAGTTTTACTAATTAAATTAATTCATTGATTGTATAATTATTTCGATTATTTTCGACGGTAGATCCATAGATAATGACAGAAACATTTCGGAAATTCAAACAATCGATCGATCGAATCAATTTTGTTTGATGGGATTCAATTTTTTTGCAAATAAATTAGCTTCGGGTAAAAAAAAGAAACGATGGTAATCAGTTGCGATGATGATAATTGCCAATTACAATCGATCGATATATCGAATTGAATTTTTTCCATTATCCATGATTGTCTGCTTCAAGCATCAATCATTCGCTGGACATTCTCTCTCTCTTTCTCTCCGGCGCCATTCATTTTTTCTTTTTACCTGTCCAATCAAGTTGAATTTGAATCAAGTTTTTTCTTTCTTTTACTTTTGCATATAGTTTTTAGATTTTCAACTAGATTTAGGTCAAAGTAATGTATGCCGGCATGTTTGTTGTTGATGATAATTTTCTTCAACAACATTGTAAGCATCAACAACAGAACACAAATTGATCTAGTGATCATCATCATCATTATCAATCGTGCGGCTAGTTTTGAACAAAATTTTTTTCTTCAAAAAAAATTTCTTCCGAAGAAAAATTTTTGAATCGATTGAGATAGAGTTCATTGTGGAATGTTTTGTTGTTGATGGTGGTGGTGTGTATTTGGGCACCGATTTCGATTCAATCGGCCTTCATTCGATTATCCTTTTTGAATTTTTGTTGTTGTTTTTTTTTAATCCAAAAATGGATTGATAAACAAGAAAAAAAGAAAAACATTGATTTTTTCAAGTTTTGTTTTTGACCATTGTGTACACATAGGATATCAATCGATGAAATTCGCCAAAAATGGAAATTGAATCAAAAGAAACAGCCACAACAACAACAACGGATTTGGAAAAACGAAAATCAGTTTCATTTGTCGATGAAAAGGTAAGTGATTCGTTCATTTGTTCTTGATCATTTTTTGAAATTGAAATTTTTATCTTTATTTTCTTAGCTAATTGATAATGCAATTAAATCGACAACAGTAGCAGCTGCAGAAGCAACAACAATGGCCAATATGGATTCGAATGATAATGATGATTCGAAATGCAAAACAACAGCAACAACAACAAAACATGGCCATAAAAATCATCATCATCAGAATAATGGACGATCATCATCAAAAAATCATTACAATAACAATGGTGGTAATCATAAACTTTATGGAAATACTACTAATGGTGGTAGATTTAACAATCATAAACAAACACCTGGACAGCAATCGAAATCTCAATCCCAATCATCATCATCGAATCCTGTGATTATTTATTATAATAATCCTGATGTTGAAATTAATGTTGATGATTTATTGGAAAAATGTCAATCAAAACAACAACATGAAACGATGGATGATAATAATGAGAAAAATGATAAACATAAAGAACGAAAACATCATCATCATCATCATCATCCGGCTCAAAATTTATTATCTACTAATAAACATCATCATCAAAATGGTAGACAAAATGGTAATTATAATCATCAACATGGTGGCCATCATCAAAAACCAGGATCATCATCATCAAAACATCATCATCATAATAATCAACAGCAACAAAAATCAAAAAATATGTGGTCAAATAATGATAATAATTGGCGTAATCATTCAAAACATCAATATGATGGTAGCAATGATGGTAACGGTAATCATCATCCACACCATAATCATCAAAACAAAAAACCGATAATCAAGAAAATTGATTATCATAATCGATCATCGAATAATGATGATAATGATGAAAATAAGAATAAATCAACAGAAACAACAACAACAACAACATTATCATCAACATCGACCATAGCTACAAGCACCGAACCAATTACAATTTATTATAATGATAATAGGTATGTTCGGGTTAAAAATTCAAGATTTTTATTATTTTTTAAAATTTTTCTTAAGTATTTCATTGGAAGAAAATTTAAAACGTTTAAAAGAAACATTATTATCGGATGAAAATAAACAAACAGATTCTAGTCAATCAGAAATGCCATATGAAGAATCCACTACTATTAATGCTACTACCAGCACTAACGATAATGATATTGATACTGTGATAAAAATGGATGATAATACTATAGCTGATACAACTACTAGCCATGAACAAAAATCGGAAAAAATTCAAGTCGATGAAATTCAGCCATCAACAACAGCAACTGTATCGACACTTGTTAAATCAAATGATCCAGAAGATGTGATTAGTGGTGGTGTACCGATTGAAAATCCACGATTACCTGAAGCTGATGCTAATGTCCAAGCGAAAATGGTTCGTTGTACAATCATATCACATCCGGGACATTTTTATATAAAATTTATCAATGCTGATCATGAAAGACAATTGAATGGAATGAATCAATTTTATTCACAAGATGAACATATTGAATTAACATTGGATGTATTACAACCAGGGCAATTTTATGCTGCATTACGTACAAAAGATGAAGGATGGATACGTATAAAATTATTACAAGCCGAATCGATTGATCAGATAACTTGTTTTCTAATCGATCAAGGATGTGTAGATATTTTACGTTTAAATCAATTGCAACCATTATATAGCCAATTTCGTTCGGTACCACGGCAATCGATTCGTGTCTCATTATCAGGTAAGTCAATTCTTATATCATCTGACTTCTTCTAAATTTTTCAATCTTTGAATTCAAAGGTATACGACCACGTGAAAGTGATGATTGGTTACCGAATGAAGCATTAGAATTTAAAAAACTTTTAGATAATCAAATATTAAAAGTTGATTATATTGGTAATGGTGATGGTGATGCAAAATGGGGCCAAATTGTTGAACCAGATTCACAACTACAAATACGTTTACAATTCAATGATGATCATAATGATTCAAAATTAGCTGATCGACCAGTTGCTGATATTCTTATTGAACGAAATTTAGCTATTGCTAATTAGAAGATTTTTAGATTAGTCGATCAAATCGACTAAAACAAAAAACAAAAAACTGTGTCCTTAATATATTTTTTTGCTATTTATTTAGAAAAAGTTTTTTTATTTTTATTTCGAATGAAACAGAATATTTTATGTGTGTGTTTGAATAAAATCAAAAACAGTAATCGTTTTTTTTTCAATCCTTTGGCAACAGCATTGATATGCTGAATAAATGAATCTAAGGATCTATCTTTGTTTAATCCAATGCCATTGAATCATCATCAAATTTTTCATCTTTTTTATCTTTTTTACCGCCATCTTTTGCATCTTCTTTTTTACCAGTGGTGGTTTTTTCGTCTTTTTTCTTATCTTTTGAATCTTGAGCGGAATCTTTTTTACCTTGTAAACCTTTGATAAATTCTTCAAAATCTTTCAAAAAAACAAGAAAAAAAGAATTAATTTCGAATCAAACAAAAAAAGAAAAGAAAATAACATACTTCCTTTATTAGCAGCAGTAACACAAGATTCAGGTAGACCAAATTGTTGAATTAATGGTCCTAATTGTCCGGATTGTAATGCATGGCTAAATGAATTTAAAGCCTGTTGAAATTGTGGTGATTGTACAGTCGATAAAAATTGTTCGGATAATGGTTTGACCGTTGTTGTTTTTGTCACTGATGAATCCGATGAAGCAGTTGATTGTGGTAACATATCACCAATACGTTTCATGAAATCTTCATTCGTTAATAATGGACGCAATACTTCAACATTAATAGATGTTGATAAATCGACTGAAATAGATTTTGATAAATGGAAATCAATGATAATTAAAAAATGCTGAAAAAAAGTAGTAAAAAACAAAACAAAAAACATACCATTCAAATCATTATCCGATTGATTTGAATCACCTGGTGTTGATAAACCGGAAATAATATTCTGTAAATCAGATAATTGAAGTCCAGTTGGTGTTTGAATATTGGTAGAAGCAGGTGAATTATTACCACCGGTTGTTGTATTCGATGTTGCTGAACTTGTTAATGCAGGTGTTGTATTCGGTGTTTGTGTTGATGATATAGGTGGTACTGGTTGCATTATAGAATTATTTCCAATACGTGTTGGAGTTGTACCAACACCACTATTGTTTGATGAATTTTGTTGTACCGAACCTAAAAGACTTGCTAAACGACTTGCACCCGGTGGTAATACAGCTAAACCAGCATCCAACATTGACATCAATTGTTGTGCAGAAACATTTGCATTACTGAAAAGATTACGAAATTCTTCTTCCGAACCAAGACCTAAATCACCTGGTGACATTAATCCACCACCACTGCCACCACCAACGCCGCCACTACCAACACCAGTACCGCTATTACGATTTGCGGCATTTGTTGCAGCCATTGGATTATTAATATATTCATTAATTTTCGATACAATTTCATCATCTTTATCATCTTTTGGTTCTTGTGACCAGAAAAATAGTCGTCGTGATGATGTTTTAAATTTCAATACAAATACCCGGCCAGTAGTACATTGTGGTACTTTAAGAAATTCAGCATCATCTGGAAACATAATCAAATCATCTTCCAATTGGCCAGATGTACGATCTTTCCAACAAAAATGCATCAAATTATCATCAGCACTTTGATGCAAATAAACCAATCCTTTACGTTCTTTGATTGGGCTTACCTAATAAATTCATCAAAAGAAAAGTTTGAATGTCAAAAAGTTGCTTGATTGAAAAGAAAAAAAGAACGATCAAACATACCGTATTACCATTTTTAACCATTTTACCAGCTTTCATTTGTACCAAATATTGACTTTGTTGTGATGATTGATTACCACCGAAAAAGAATGGTCGTGCCATAATGAAAAATTGTTTGTAAAAGATTTGTTTTATTTTCAAAAAATTTTTTGTAAATAAAAAAAAAATTAAAATCAAAATTGAATTTTATAATCGAGAACAAAAAAAATTTTTTTTTGCTTGTCATGCACCGTATTTTCATTCGCTGTATAAAATAATGAGTGAAAATAGTTTGCTATTTCAACTTCAATAGCTACGATTGGGTAGAATGAGACAAATGTAGAAAAATTATTTTCGATGTAAAAAACTATTTCGACAACAATTGTTTAACTTCCTATTCGATTAATTTGTTTATTTTCAAAATTTTTATTTTCTCTTCAAATTTTCAATCGACAAACATCAAGTTCTTCATATTTTGGTGGCGATTCATATTGTGGTGGATGATCATTATCAATTTCATATATAAATTGATCATTTTGACGAAGATTTGGATGATTAAAAATTGTCGAAATAATTGGTTGATTAATGAAATTTGGCAAAATAATCGATTGATATGATAATTGTTGTCGTTGTCGTGGTTGTTGTTGTTGTTGTAAATAACTTGTATGATGATAATAATAAAAAATATAAGCAAAAATTATAATCAAAAACAATAGAAATATTAATGACATCCAAATGAATATAAATTTACATTTATTAAATAAATTATAAATGAATAAACATAAACAGATTATAATCATTATAATCATTATAATTAAACGTAAACGAAGTAAGTAAAATCGATTAAACATTTCCATTCTAATAATTTCAATCGTTTATAGAAAACAAAAACTTAAACCGAAAACTTAAACCAATCTTATTTGAATCAGCCAAAACAAATGAACTAAATAATTCTTTAATGGATGGATTTTATTTGATGAAATTTATTAATTTTTGTTTCTTTTGATTATCGTCTTGACAGCCTTTTTGTTGATATTTTTGCTTGTAATGTTTACGTATTTTGTTTTCGTAAGTGTGTTTTTGATTTACTAACTAACTAAACTAAACTAAACTAAATCAACAACAACGGTAATGATTAAATTTGTTTTACTTTTGGATAAAAATGAATTAATATTTATCTCATATAGCTACTGTGTGTGTGTGTGTGTGTTTATTGATTTGAAAAATTCAATTCAATATGATAATGATGATTATTGTTGTTGTTGTTGTTGTTCTGGTTGTTTTTCCTCTGATTTTTTTTGTTCTGATTGTACGGTTACATGATCATTATCATTATGGTTATTAGCGTTATGATTATGGTTATTGTTGTTGTTGGCCATTATTAAATTATCAACATTAAGTTCTTCATATTTAGGTGGTGAATCATATGGTGGTGGTATATCGGTTGCATTTAAACGTTCCATACGACAATTATAACATTCATTTTCATCATCATCATGATAATCATTGGTTGTTATAATTGAAAAATCATTAACATTTTGATTATGATGATTATGATGATGACTATAACTACGATTTCTTTGTTGTTGTTGTTGTTGTTGTTGATTACGATTTTGTTGTTGTCGTTGTCGTTGTCGTCGTTGTTGTTGTCGAAATGAATGATCACGATAAATATAAAACATAATAAATGTATAGACAATAAAAAATATTATAATTGCCAGAATAATCATCAATGTTATATTAAAAATTATCAGTGCAAATTCATAATTAATTAAAAATGCTAATAAACAAATAATACCAATGGTTGATATTAATATCGGTATAAATCGAATAGCAATTGTAATAAAATATTGTAACCAAATTTTTGTTCGATACCATGCTAAACGATTAACATTGGTTGTTGTTTGTTGTTGATATGATTGTTGTTGATCGTTTATGTTTGTTGTTGTTGTTGTCGTTACCGGTATTGACATTATTGAAGTTGTTGCGTTTGTTGTTGTTGTTGTTGTTGTTGGTACCATCATCATACGATGACGTCTAATACGTTCACGATGTGGACAACGATAATGATTATTACTTGTTATTATTGTTGGCTGTGACATTGATCTTGATGATTGTTGTAATAATGATGATTGTAATGGTAATGATAATGGTGATAATGAAAATTGTACATGATTTGTTTGTTGCGTTTGTTGATCGCAACTAGATTCATTCATTATTCGATTCAAAGACGAAGAATCGCAGTTGTTGTTGTTATTTGAATTTTCGATTGTCATCGTCATCGTTTGTCGTCGTAGTCGTTATCGATTAAAGTCAATAAAATCAATAAATAACTTAAAAAAAATTGATTTCTTATTAATTTATAATTGATCGATCGATCGATCGATTTCAATCAATCAATCAAGCATATCAGGAACATCGATTTTGAAAAAAAAACAATTTTTTGCCTCTTTTCTTTCGCAAAAAAAATTACGTTTTGGAAAAGAATTAAAGACAAACAAAAGATGTTCTTTTTTTTTGTTTCTTGTCAACATTTAACAAACAAACATACACCATAGTGATACACACCAAACACCTTTAATACCTTTAATTTAATTTTTCTGACACACAAATAATAAATTTATAGCTGATTTGAATGTGTGTGAGAAAGAATATCAATTCTATCACCAACGACGATACCAACGACAACCGATAATGGCTGGCTTATCGGTTTTTAAAAGATTTTCTTTTGTGTTTTGACAGTGATAAAATCCATCCAACAATAGGGCGAAAAAAAACGGTTGAAAAAAAAATCATTCAAATTTGATACAAACACACACAGAGAAAAAAAATATAGACTTTGTTGCTTTGTCAAATACAAACTATGATGGATGGATCATTATCGAGATTCAAATCATCTTGTGATGACAATGATGATGATAATGATGAGATTTGATTAAAATCAAGAAAATTAACAATGTATATGTAATTTTGTTTTGTTGTTTTTTGTCTTTTCAATTGTAAATAATTTTGTTTAATTATTAATCAGGCTTATAGAAAAGAATTTGTAACAAACAAAAAAATTTGTTTTTGTATTTTTTTAGTACAAATAAAATTTTTTATTTTCATTCATTTTTCATTCAATTCTGGTTGCACAACAACATTTTACATATTTTTTTAAAAAAATTAAAAGTCTAGTTTGATGAAAACTATCTATGTTATTTTGTGACTATATATCTGTTGTGATCTTTTTTGTTTTGTTGTTTTGGAAAATTTTCTACCGTTGAAATTCTATAGTTTCTGTTTGTTTCTGTTTTCGGATTCGTTTCAAAATTGACTAGACTAAATTAGTCAGGAATATTTTGTATAAAAAAAACATAGAATTTGATAAATGAGCCAAGATTATAAAATTCATTTCCAAGCAGCATTCAATGATTTTTTTGCTGCTAAATATTTAACCAAATAAGACATTATTATCAATAATAAAAGTACGGCCATAATAAGTAAATGATCAAAATCATCTTTTAGTATATCGAATGTTTTTGATGGTGTTACACGTGTATAATAAATATCTGTTGTTGTTGTTGTTGAGGAGAAAAAAGTGAAAAAATTTCAATTTTAAAAAAAGGAAAATTTCCAATAAAAATCAAACAAACACATACCAATACCATAAACACAGATAAGTGATGTAGATTCCAGACTAGCTGGTGCAGTTACAATACCACGTACATTAAAAACTGTTTGATTATAATTAATAATAGTTTCGGATGGTATTGGTAATTCAGGTACATATGGTATAAGACCTTCTTCAGCATGTTCTTGTGTTGGTCGAATTGGTCGTCGTGGATCTAAAAAGGCGCGTGGTAATTCCAATATTCCACCAGTTGGTAATGAAACTGAACAGGAAAAATTAATTAAGTCAAAAATTCAACAACAGAAAATTAAAATTAATCATACTTAAGATATGTTTACTGGTTATTCCTTTCAATGTTTCAGTATCGGTCATAATACCAATACCAGTTGGAAATATAAATGATTTTTGTTCAACATTTGGTATTGCCCATAAATCACGACCAATTGATGAAAATGCTGTTGAATTAATTTGATTAAAACCTTCATATAATTCTATTGATGATAATTCATTACGACGCATTTTATCATTATAATATGAATACTATATGAAAAAAAATTAATTAAAAACAGCAACCAAAATGAATAAAAAAACTAAACTTACAATAATTGAATTTTCCGAATGAACCACTTGACAAGGGCAACGTGTACGACGATGTACAATTGAATAGATAATATTACCAGTTATTGAATCAATTAAATACATTGTTATAAATGCTAAATTCGAAGAAGTAAAAAGCAAAAAATAAAATGAAATTTTTCATAAGAAAACATTTTTTTTTCGGTACATACATTTATCTTGACTATCTAATGATTCAACAAGTATAGCAACCAAATTTGGATTTAAATATTTATACAGAACATTACGATCACCAAGTACACGACCTTGTGAATGAACCATTTCATGTGGACGTTTAAATATTGATTTGATCGATATTAATTTGTTCGTTTCATGTGGTAAACGAAATTGCCATACAGGTGTTGCACGTGGACCATTATCAACAACATTGGAACCAGCAAAACTATAACCAGTTAATAATGCATCAGTTTTATTCAGAATCATCATAAAATGATTTGAAGCAATATTTTGAAATAATTTTTTCATTGCCATTGTATCTGGATATAAATATGCATTATATTCTGAATCAAGTAATAATAATGGTCGTTGAAAAGTATTATCATCATAAATTGTTTGTAATAACATTGCTTGTATTGTACGATATGGTAGCCATTTGGAATCCAATATTATACCAGTAACCGGATCAAATGAATATAAAAATGTACGTTTTTGATCTTCAAATGAATTCAATATAGTACAAACAGCTGAATGTGTATAATGAGCATTATTACGTTGTATCCATATTGGAAATTGAACATCATCATCATTATTATCCGTATGAATAGCTAACCATGGTTCATATCTTGTCCAAATTATACGACCGGTTATTGTATCCAATGCAAATATTTTACCCGATTTTGTTCGGGCAATAATTACTTTATGAAAACCAAAATAATCTCGAATCAATATTTCTTCTGTATCATCAGAATCATCATTTTGTAATTGATCTTGTTGTTGATCAATTGTAAATGAAATATCATCATCCAATTGTTGTTGTTGTTGTTGATTTGAACGTTGTGTACGATGTTGTTTCAATATAATCATACTATGCATTAAACTATGATATGATTGTCGTATGAATGACATTAATTGTATGATTTGTGAACGTATACGATGTATAAACATTGATACAATATTTGTATTACGTTCATCAAATCCATATTCTTGTTCTAATGTTGCATCATCTTCGGATAATGGTAAATCAATCATAACAAGACTATTTATTTCAGCCAATGCTTCTTCCCTTGCCCAATTAATTTTTCCCATTAAATTCGTTACAATCAATGTTCCATCCAATGTTGTTAATAATAATTTATATGTATAACGAAATTGATTACGACCCAATCGATTGTTCGGTACCATTGTTCGTATGGGAATAATTTCAAATCGATCAACCGACCATTGTTTATCTAAACGTTTTACTAGTTTACCATTTGATGCAACGGGCGAAAGTGAATTTCTTCCACCAAATTCAAATAATATTGATTTGGATGAAATTGTCGTTGTAATATCATTCCATGATTCCAGATGAAATATAGCCAATTTAATAGCAAAAACTTTTTGTTCATTTCGGGCATCATTTTGATCTTCATATGGAATTGGTTCAGATTTTGTAAACATAACAACAACACCAAATTCTTGTTGATCAATTTCATTTTGATTGCTGATGGATGATTCTTGTGATGATGATATCAACGGAATGATTGTAATACGATGAGCATATGGAAATACTTTTACCAAACGTATTGACGAACTACCACCACCACCACTATTATCTTGAAGATCATCGGATACAATTTTAAACAATACAATACCTTGTCCATTACCCAAATTTATGGCAAAATATTTTGATATTAAATAATTTGATTTTGCTTTTGATATTGTTGTTGTTTTATCAACATCACCAAATAATTCCGGTAATAATTGTATACGAATCTTGTCATTATTATTATTGTTTTCGGTAAGATTTGCTGCAGTGGTCAAACCAAATGTGGACAACGGAATACGTTTAAATTGTCTTGCGGTTGTTGTTGATGATGATTTATCATCATCATCATTAACATTATTGAGATCAATAAATTGAAATCCACGATCTTTTTGATCAATACAAATCATATGTTCCGAAGTAATCATATGACATTTACTTGTATCTAACCATTTACCAACAATTAATCTTGTTAATGATTGTAATTTTCTTTGACGAAATTGATAATGAAAAAATTCCATTAAATAATTTTTTCGTGAAATTTTTACTATTAATAATGCGGGTTGTTGTTTTTGTTGTTGTTGTGGATCACGAATCAATTTGAATAATAAATCAAAATTACTATGGGAAAAACAAAACAAAAATCAGAAAAACGAATCAAATTTTTCTTGAAAAAAATGACAAACCTTGGATCATTATCAATTTCATTAAGAAAATCATTGGGTAAAAAATGTTCGGATAAAAGAATACCGGATGTTTTCCAACAACGAATCCAACGGCCATGTCCATTCACCGATAATACTGGACAGGAAAAATCCATTGTTGATGGTGATGATTTTGGCCATGATGATAGAAAATCAATAGATGATGAATTTTCTAATAAATGACGCCAATTTATCGAACCATTACGAAGATAAAGACCCGATAATGAACCACTATGTGATGATGTTATTAATAATTGATGATCTTGCCAGATATCTTTTGGGTTTTTCGGTTTTTGGTTGACACGTTGCATAATGGAAAGAATTTTGTTTTTTAATTTCAATTTTTTTCAATCAAATAATAATAATTACCAGAAGCTCGAAGAACATGATCAACACGACCAACAAATTGTTGACGCCAATCAAATTTTCCAATCTGATCTTCATACAGACAATCAGCTAATTGAAATAATAATTTCAATATAATCATATACAAAAACAATTCATTTAATTGTTTCATTTTCTCTTTCTCTGCTCTTTACTTTGGAATTCTTTGTTATTTTTTTATCAAGTTTTCTTTTGCTGATTACAAATAATGGCTATACATTTGGACAATTTAAAAGTTAATAACCGAGGGGAGAAAAACAGATAAAATAAATTTAAAAAAAAAGAAAAAACCGAATGCGAAATCACCGAAATCAGATTAGAATCGAATCGAATAAACATGACATAAACATGTTTGATGGAAATATCGATTGTATCGATTGTATCAGCAAATTAATACAATAATCGACAATAGATGGCGACTGAAATATTGAGTTTTTAAAAAATATATTCGAAATTCGAATCCCGAAATTTTGAATTCGAAAATTTCGGGATTTCGTAATTTGATCAAAATAAAATGTTTGTTTTTTTTTCTTTTGGTTGATTATTCAACATGAATGATTTATGATCGATATTTCTTGATGATTTTTCATTCTAAAAACCAGAAAACTGAATTTCCCATAAATTCATCGATTTATCCAATTTTCGACCAAATGCTTCGTGTTTTGTTTATGGATGAACAGTTTTTTTCGGTTACAATTTCTTCAGTGGTCAGTGGTTTATTCATGTTATGGATGCTTATCATCGTGATCACCACCTTTATTCAAGCCAAGCCAAGCCAAATCAACAAAAAACGACAACGATTTATGTTCGTTTTCTTTCCGCTTACATTCTCCCACACATAAAGTCCATTCAAAATAATTGATAATTCAAGCTTAACAACCAGAAAAAAAACCAAATTGGTCAGCAGATTTATTGCTCAAATTTTTCATTTTTTTTTCTTTTGACCAAAATCTGAATCATTCATTCGTTCAATTTGTCGATTTTTGGTTTTTCGGGTTTTTTTCTGTGCCAAACCATATTAAACAACATTTTTTTTCTCAACAATATTATGTAATCATCATCATCATTGAATCATGAATCGAAAGAAAAAGAAAAAAAATTTCCATTTGGATTTCGAATGTTTTTGGATTTTGAATGTTTTTGTCCAGTGTATGAATGAATGCAAAAAAAATCGCCAAAAAAAACCATCCAAAAAAATGTTGTCATCAAAAAATTCATTGAAAATTCTCATCACGAAATCATCATTTGGTTTTTTCCTTTCAAGTTTCGAAAAAAAACTATGGAATTTTTCTTCTTTGTTTCCTGAATTGAGCTTATCAAATCGCACAAATATCATCCACACACACACACACACACAATTGATGACCACCATAATCGTATGTTTAATACATTCAAACTTAATGATGTGATGATCGATTTGTTAAAAATATTATGGCAAAACGCAACAACAGAGAATAATCATTCGGACCATTTTTCCATATTTCCATTTCATTTCATTTTTTTTGTTTTGTTTTGTTTTTTCGGGATTTCATCGCATCATTATTTCAAATTTGAAAATATTTACAAAGTTTTTTTCCAGCTAAAAATATTATCCAAAATGTGCAACCCGAATGAATAAATGAATTTGATACGTTTTTCATTCATTTTATTCAAGATTTAAGGTGAACAACAACAACAACAACAACAAAACTGTTTAAATGTGATAACAACCAGAACAAACTTTTAAAAATTGTGAATTCATTATAACAAAGCAACGATTTTCAAGTGTTTCGATGTTTTTTTTTTTTTTTTTGATTCGAAATAGATATTTTCTATTTCGATATGGATACTTGAATTTCCAATATGGTTAGTGTGATGCAGGAAACGCTTATAGCTTTCAACAACAACAACAACAAAATTGGATTGTTATTTTCATCCCTGTCACCTCCTCTCCCCTCATAGAACCACTTGAATGAAGCAAAAAAAAAACATTGCTGAAAATTTGTTTCAATTTTCTTTCACAATATATGATGTCAAATGATGATGATGATGATAATTGATGGCCTATTTTCTTCTTCATACGTGAACGAAAATAAAAACTTTTGAATTATAAATCTATAATTGAAACCATATAGCAGCATATAAAGAAAATAAAAAACCCGAAAAAGAAATCGATCCATATCAATTATTTTAATTCAAATAACAACAAAAAACGAGCCCTTTTAACTTCTTCTTTATTCAGCAAAAGAAAAAAAAATGTCACAATTGAAATCCAATTTCTTTGAATTGGATTGGATTGGAAGATGAAAGAAGAAAAAAAATCCTGTTTGAAATTTTTTTTTCTTCTGTTGAATACAGAAAACTAATACTACTATATTGAACTTATTACACGGACAATTTACGATAATAAATGCCTTTTCATCATCTTTCACCATTATTATTGTCATCATCATCATCATCATCATCAAATTGATTAGTTCATGTTTGGAGGCTTTATTCAAGCGCAATCATAGAAAATTTTCTTTGAATCATTTTTTGTTCCTCCTGGTCTTGTATATCCATTGAATGAGTGAGTGTGAAAAAAAACGTTAATTTGACAACAACAATAACAAAGCAAAAAAAACAGGATCAAAATTTGGGGATAATAACAATAACAATTATTATTTGGCAAGGGCAAATTGGCTTTCTACTTCTTTCTCTCTCTCTCTCTCTCTCTCTCTCTCTCGTTTTGTAACCGGTGTTTGGTTTGTGTGTGTGATATGGATCCCCAAATCGAATTGAAGTTTGGTGTGGAAACGAAATCAAAATGAAACAAATTCGTCATTTCGGGGTAAAAAAAACTTGTGAAAAAAAGAAAGAAAGAGGGAAGGAAAGAAATTTTTCGATTGTCATCACACATTATCATCATCAAACTACTAAAACGCTATCTGTTCATGGATTGTTGTTGTTGTTGTTGTTGAAATATTGTCACCAAAACTAGCAACAACAACTTATAACGGTAACGGATTTTTTTTTCTCCCTCCCAATTCAAGTGGTTAGCTTTTTTTTTGGTTCTTTCAATCAAAATTTATAAATGTCAAATATGTTTGCAAGAAGAACCAAAAAAAAAGTGAGAAAGAAACAAAATCAATTTTCTATATCAATACCGAAACAGAAAAAAACATGGTTTTAGGCGGTTCAGTTTCAGTTTTGTTGTTGTTGTTGTTACTTGAAATCGATCCATAAAAGATCAAGAGAGAGAGAGAGAGAGAGAGAGAGAGAGAGAGAGAGAGAAAGGCAATGAATAATGCAAAAAAAAGTTATCGACTTTTAAATTGACCATTTCAAATTGTATTTTTTTCTTCTCTGGATTTAGAGCTTCTGGAAATTTTCTTCTTCGCTTCAAAGAAAGCGGCAAATTAAACGAACCAAACGTTTTTTTTCGGGTGAAGATGATAACTACTATCGATACTATCCGTCGATAGTAGTTTAGTAGTAGCTCGATTGACAAGTCATTTAAGTTTCGGCTTCAAACGAAAAATGGAAAAAAAAAATTTCCGATTCAATGAAATTTGATTCGTAAGAAAAGATTTTCAATCCAAAAAAAAAAAGAATTCACAATACTTGAATATCACACACACACCAAACAACCAATCAAACAAACAACACCGAAAAAAAACCATCTGTGTCAACAAACATTTGTTGATTAGTTTCAAACAATTTTTTTCAAAACTTTGATCTTTTTTTTCATTTAGCTAAATATGGTTAACGATATGGTGAAAAATCTCTTCAAAATGGATCATCATCCAAATGAAGAAATTCAACAAAATTCAATTCAAACATGATTTTTGACATACATGTGTGCACATGGTTGGTTGATAATTTGTCACCTATAGAAAAAAGGAAAGGTGGGAAAGGAACTGACTTTCTGGACAATATCAATTTGTCCAACAAAAAAAAATTTGATTAATTAACTCTAATCATGTGTAATTAAGTTTTTTTGTTGCTGCTGTTGTTGTTGAAAAAATCACCACCATTTTAACCATTTAACCGCTATAACTTTCAATTGTCATTGTTAACAATTATTTTTCATCTCATTAGATTTTCTTTTTGAAACAAATTAGCTCCATTATTAGGTTTAGGTGTGGTGTGGCCATTCGTTTTCAAACATTCATTATACGGTCCAATTATTTCCAATTATTGATGAATCCCAAAACCATATGTGGAACCATAAGCAACGAGAAAGAAATAGCGGAAACAAACAAACGAAACAGTGTGAGAAACATAGAAGTTTTTTTTTTGTTTTGTTTGTTTCCAATTGCACAAAAATCAAAAAAAAAAAACTTTTTTTCTAGCCAAACAACCAACAACAACTTGAATGTGAATGTGAAAATGTGTCACACTCACAATTAGTCAACGAAAATGAAATGAAATGAATGGAAAAATTTTTATTTCGGTTCCAGAAACCAGAAAGCCAAACAATCCAAAAATATTATCAATGGGCCAAGTCATTTGTATTTAATTTTTATTTTTCTTCTAACAATCGATTAACATTAAACACCAACAACAACCACTAAACGATAACAAAAGTCAAAAAGTCATCAAGAATAGAAGAAAAAAATTGATAAAAATTATCCACACGTTATCGTTTTTGATAAACCGCCCTTTATAAATGGAAAAAAAAACAGGAAAATTGAATTGAATTGAATGTCACCAAAAGCAAAGCAAAAGAAGAAAAAAATCGATAAAATGTCATATCGAATTGTTTCGTTTGGAACACAGAAAATGTGTGTGGAAAACTAAAACTGAAAAAAATGAAAATGTTCCACTTAGTTTATCCGATAAGTGACTTGGCGTTTGTACGGTGTGAATTTGAATACAATAGACCTCTCCACACTCAAACACAATTGATCCAGAAATCAGTGGAAAAAAAACATTTTCTGATTTGGCCCAAGTCAAATTTGTCAACGAAAATCATTTTTTTTTTTTCGTTTTGATTTTGAAAAAAATTTTTCAAAATCAAATTTCAAGTGAGATGATCATGTACTAATCTTGTATAAACTGAATTTCTTTTTTTTTCGTTTGAAAAAGCATCTTGCAGCAGCAGCAGCAGCAGCAGCAGCGATAAACAAGATTTATTTTCGATTCAAAAAAGAAAAAAAAACACGGATGCTTTTTCGAAAAAGAATTTTTTTTTGCAAACCAAAGCAAAAATTTTCAAATTCACAATTTCCATGTTTCATCCAATCAACTAACCAACAAACAACAGCCGGTTTTCGATTACACTTTCGAATGATGTTTGGTTGTGGTTGAATGTTGAACAAATTTTTCTCCATTGTATTTTTTTCTCATTTAAATAGAAATTAAAAA